ATGGCTCGCATACGCTCTTTCATTACGTTGCATCTTCGGGGGGGCCTCGCCTGTCCCCAAAATTGGTGTCTTTTCTTGTGTCCGACGCATGCTTGATGCGGATTCGGCGCGGACTTGGCATATATTCGATGCGGATTCGACACGGATTCGACACGGATCCGACGAGTCCGACACGGATTCGACGCGGATAGGACAGCGACGGGATAGACAAGGTCCCCTTGAGGATGCATTATAATTTTCATTGCTCGGTGCGCAAGTTGGTTTAGATCACCAGCCACCAAACCACCCCAACCCAACCCGAAGGCCCAAATTTGCCCTCGATTTCCAGTTGGGGGGGGGTCGGGGAACATCGAGAAAACACATGGAAAGCGTACCCCCCCCAACCCGAAATTCGGGTCAAATTCGGATCTTCGGGTTGGGTTGGGGTGGTCTGGTAGGTAGTCATTAGAGGCAGAGGAGGCATTCTGTATCCAGATCGGTTTTGGGGGGCACACCCGCCGTCCAGTGCAGTCCATGGCACGGGGCCCTCCGCCTGGCTCGTAGCCGCATCCACCTTGTCCTCCTCCTCCCTCCGCCTCTCCGCGTCGTCGGCTGCAGTACAGTCGGGGCCCTGAAGAAGGAGCCCTTTTCGTTGGGGAGGGGCTCGGTGCTCCTTGATAGTTTTGCAGTTTGCCCTGGGGTTTCCTCAGGTTTTCCATGGGACATCGAAGTTTAACTTAAGGGACAAAGGGGCCCCGTTCCTTATTTCGGGTTCCTTAGGTCAACGCCCCGACTGTAGCGACCGTTGCGTGCCCCTATGCGACCTGCAAAAGGCAGTGAGTCCCTTCGGGAGTCGCGTGTGGCAGTATTTGTCGGGGCTGAGGCTGTTGATTGTCCTGGCAGTTGCAATCTCGCTTGCGCGCCGCCCTCGCAAAACAGCATGCCAATTCCGGGCCACATCTCTTGAAGGCGGCATGTGGCACGGGCATTGGAAAACGAGGAGGAGGAGGGCGGAGGGGTGGAGGAGAGGGATGCCTCTCAGAGCAGACGCCTGGACCTCTCCCCGAGGGCGTTTGAACTGGAACTGCAAGCGCGGATCCAGCCGCGGCGTCGGCCCACTTTCCAAATGTCCATTTGTGTGTGGGGGGGGGGAAGAGGAGGAGGTAGGCGGAGGGAGAGGAAGAAGATGCCCCTCAAAACCGACTCCTTGACCTCACCGCGTTTTGATGATGACCTCAAGAGAGGATTCCAGCTGTGGCAGCGGCCCACCTCCCGGAGGTCCACAGCAGGGACAGGAAGGCGAAGGGGGAGGGAGGAAAAGGGAGGAAGGAGGAAGAGGAGGATGGAGGAGGAAACGCGGTCTCGCGGAGAGACGTCACGGCCGCCAGCGACAGTTAGGAGGAAGACGAGGGCACGACGAGATGAAGAAAGAGGACGGCAGGGCCATGAAGAGACGACTAGAATTAGATGGCAGGAGGAGAAGGAGCAGGCGGAGGAGGAGGAGCGAACCAGACTGCACGCTAATCCCTGCGTGCCTGGCTCTTCCCCGCGGGGCCGGGGCTGGCCCGCGTCGAGCGCAGGCACCCCCCGCAGGGGGCCTCCACAGCCGAGGCGCTGACGCCAAGGACCCGCCTTTGGCTCAGGAGAGCGCTCTGTCCTCCTCCTCCTCCTCCTCCTCCTCCTCCTCCTCCTCCATTATCCTCCTCCTCCTCCCCCTCCTTCTCCCCCCCTCCTCCTCCTCCTCCTCCTCCTCCTCCTCCTCCTCCTCCTCCTCCTCCTCATCCCCCTCCTCATCCCCCTCCTCCCCCTCCTCCTCCTCCTCCTCCTCCTCCTCCTCCTGGTTCTGGTTCTGGTTGAGGCGCACCCAAGTGGGGCGCGTTGGTGCCGAAGCCCCGGGCAAAGGGCAGGCATGAGCAGTCCCGAGTAGGGCGCTGGCAGTGGGGCAAGTGCCCGGCGCGCGTGCCCGCTCCCAGGGGGCCGGGTGTCGTTTCATGCGAGACAGTTGTAGGGGCCCCCTGGGAGCCGCGCCTGCCACGCCGCCAAATGGCGGAGCGCCAGTGCGCGAGCGCGAGTGCGCGTGCTGCCAACTGGCGGCAACGAAACTGGGAACCTCGTCGTCCTCCACCACCCCGCCACAGCTCCACCACCACCAGCCAGGCGAGGGAAAAGGGGAGAGGGAGGAGGGCGGCGGGAGGAGACACCCCGGGGGGGGGGCAGCCGGGAGGGCGACAGGACGACGGCGACGACAGGAGACGACGAGGGCGACGCCGACGAGAAGCAACGGCGACGACGACGACGACGGCGAGGGCGACGAAGACGAAGGCGACGGCGACGAAGACGACAACGACGGCGACAGCGGCGGCGAACGCAGCGACGACGACGACAGCCAAAGGACACGCAACGCGCATTTCCAGAAGCGAAAAAAAGGAAGCGAGTGCCCGGGGCGCGCGCGGCTAGCCCCGGGTCCGGCGGCCGCGCTCGGCGCTCCGGGAGCGGCAGGAGGGGCTCAGGCGGGGGCGGCGGCGGCGGCGGGAGGCAGCGGCCGGGGGCGCCCCCGAAGCCTCAGGGCGACGACGACGACCACGACGACGACGACGACGACGACGACGACGACGGCGACGACGACGACGACGACGACGACGACGACGACGACGACGACGACGACGACAGCGACGACGACGACGACGACGACGACGACGACGACGACGACGACGACGACGACAGCAAAGGCGGCGACGGCGGCGGCGGCGGCAGCAGCGGCGGCGGCGGCGACGGCGGCAGCGGCGGCGGAGGCGGCGGAGGCGGCGGCGGCGGCGGCGGCGGGAGGCCCCGGCCGGGGAGGCAGCAGCAGCAGCCGTCGGGGGGGCAGCGGCGGCCAGGCCCGTGGCGGCAGCAGGAGCGTGGAGGGCCAGCGCGGGCGGCGCGCCCAGAGCGCTGGGCGGGGGCGGAGGCGCCGCGGCGGCGTGGGGCCGGGGCTGGTTCCCAACCCAGGGGACGGTCCACGCAAGCACTGCTTCGAGGAGCCGCTCGCGGACCTCCGTGTTGCCGGCGATGGTCAATTTGGCTTGCCGGAGCCAAAAATTGATCACCCCGCCGCCGCCGAGCGGACGGAGCGCCAGGCCGATCCGGGCCCCGTTGGTGCCAAAGAGCCAGAATGCCTGGCGGGAGTCGGTGTAGAGCCCGCAGGCGGCAGCCAACTGAAGGACCTCTTGCTCAGTGAGCGCGCGCCCGTCAGCACGCGCAGGGAGCCCGCGGCGGAAGCGGGCGCTACCGGGGTCAGCGCCGGCGCAGCGCCGCGAGCGCCGCGAAGAGCCGGAAGGCGCGGGAGGCTGCTGGGGCTGGTGCTGCGACGGCGCCGCTGGCAAGGAGACGGACGATGAGGGCGGGCCGCTGGGCCGCCAGGAGCAGGCGGACGAGGGGGGCAGCGGAGGCGAAGGCAGCACGGGCGCCGCAGGCGGGGGGCCAGACGACGGGGGCGGGCAGCACGGCCGCCCGGAACTGGCCGGCGCAGGCGGAAGAGGCTGGGGCGCGGGCATCCCCAGCGACGCAGGCGGCGAGCCAGAGGAGGACGCAGCGGGGCCGCCCAGAGGCGGAGGGGCGGCGGGCGGACTGCGCCACGGGGGAGTGGCCTGCGACGCCGGTGCCACGCCCGGGCTGGCCCCCGCAGAACCGCTCGAGCTGCCGCCCGCTGCGCCCGCAGCCCAGCGCAGACTTGCGGCACGGAGGGCAGCAGCGGCGCCCTGTGCAGAGCCCCCGTACACCGCCACCAAGGCCTCGGCGACCAAGGGGTCCAGGTAGTTGGCCCCGAGCAGGAGGGTGTGGACCACCTCTGCAAGGCCCACGGGGCGCGCCAGCCGCCCGAAGAGGGCAGCGGCCGCCAAGGCCGCAGGCGCGGCGTGCCCGGGCGCGGCGGCAGCCAAGGACTGCAGAGCAAAGACGAGATCCGAGGAGGGCACCGCCGATGCTCCCACGAGCTCTTGCACCAGGCCAGCGAAGGGCGGTCCCATGGATGCATGGGCGAGCCAGCCTGCCAAAGTCTCTGCCGGCAGGAGGCCGACCGCGGCCAGGAGCGCCGGCGAGTAGGCCGAGTTGCAGACGCCAGGGTGCGAGGGCAAAGTGCGCGCAGCTGCCGCCGCCAGCAGTGAGCTGAGAGGCCCCTCGCTGCATGCCGCGTCGCCGCTGCAGTGCGGGGCCGCGTCCTCCTCCTCCTCCTCCTCCTCCTCCTCCTCCTCCTCCTCCTCCTCCTCCTCCTCCTCCTCCTCCCCCTCCTTCCCTTTTGGCCTCCGCTAGCCGCTCCCCGGGGCCCAGGCCTCGGCGTCGGCCCAGGTTGGCCCCTCGCAGACCGTGCCCCCCCGCGGCGGCCCAGCCTCGCCTCGCCCCAGGACGCGGGCAGGGGGCCACAGGCGAACCCTACCCCTAGTAAAACGACGCGAAGATCGGGACAAAATCGGATCGGGATAACTCGAAGTCTCTGAGAGTCGGCGGGTTTGGAGGATGTATTGGGCGCCGCGGCCGCTCCAGAGCGTTCCGGAACGCTCTGAGAGCGCTCCGGAACGCTCTGGAGCGACTTAACCCGATCCTAGCCCTGTTTGAGCAGGGGGCCACAGGCGAACCCTACCCCTAGACCCCCCACGATCTCTGGGGGGAGGGCGGGGTTCGTTCGCTTCGCGCGGGAGGTCCCGCACAAAGGGAAGCCCGCCCTCCCCCTCAGAAGTCGTGGGGGGCAGGGGTAGGGTTCGCATGTGGCCCCTTATAGTGTCTGGACGCCCGAAATGGGCACGGAAAGAACGGGTACAATGCTCAACAGCAGTTCCTGTTCGTTTGGAACCGGATTCGCTGCCCACGCCGCCGCGGCCTGTGACCATTCGAGATAGAAGGCCGCCTGCCCAACAGCGGCCGCTGTTGGTTTGGGGCAACACTTGTTGTTGGGCACTGTACCCATTCTTTCCGTACCCATCTCGGGCGTCCAAATAGTGGCTTGGCATCGCTCGGACGTGTGGTTTTGTTTCTCGGCGAGTCCTCGATCATTTGGCGAAAAAGCCACGCACGAAACCGAAAAAACCACAGGGAATGGACGTCCGAACGATGGCGAGGTGGGTGTGCGGTGCGGCCGGAGGTGAGCTCCCGCGCCGCGCCGAGGGGGCGGCTCCCCGGGGTCGGCCGCCGCGCCTCTGCACGCGTCGGGGGCCCCGCCCGTGGCCGAGGCTCTCCCCATTCGGTAGCGGTGCGGCCGGAGGGGCGCCCGCGAGGCGAGCTCCCGCGCCGCGCCGAGGGGGCGGCTCCCCGGGGGTTCGGCCGCCGCGCCTCTGCACGAGCCCGGGGCCCCGCCCGTGGCCGAGGCGTGGCCCCGTTCGGCCCCCAGCGCGGCGCGGCCCCCCCTGCCCGGCGGCGCGCGGGGCGGGGAGGCCCCCGCCGCCCCCCCCCCGGCAGGCCTGGAGCAGCGCAGGAGGGAGAGAAGCACTTTGTGTTGGTCGGCGGGTCGGGAGCGGGCCCCTTCTCGGGCCGGACGAAAGGGGGGGATTGGGAAAGGGGGGGTTCCGAAACCTGCTGCATGCAGCCGGTTTCGGCCCCACCGAGGGGCCCATTCCTTGGTACATAGCCGCCTCCGGCGCCAGGAGGCGCCGGGAAAATCAGCTATGTGAGCTGATTCTCAACCCCCCCCCCTTTGCTATCCCCCCCTTTCGCCCGGTCCGACCTTCCGGTCAAGAGCTAGGCGGGGCGAGCGAGGCCCTAGTTGAGGAGACAGGGCGCGGACGGGCGGGGCCTCAGGCGGCCGGAGGGTGCAGAGAACAGGCGGTGCCGAGGATCTTGCACAGTACGCCATGGACAGGAGCAGGGAAAGAAACACACAGACACAATGAATCGTCGATTCCCCCAAAAATATGGGAAGATACGGGAAGTGGGGGGGGGAAGACAAAAGCCCAGAAGATATGGGAAAATATAGGGAATCCTGTTATTTGTGTGTATGTGTTTGTGTGTCCCAGGGCCCCGTCAAGCAGCGCAGGCGAAGACCCTTCTGCATCGCTCCGACGCGTGCGCGTTTCCTCGGCGAGGGCCACCGAGGAGCCTCGCTCCGGGGGCGAGCGGAGGGGGGATGGGAGGAGGAGGAAGCCTTCTCGGGAGGCGGCGGGGCTTCGCGGAAGGCCTCGCGCGCCTTCTGAGAGGCTCTCTGCGTCGTCGGGGAAGGTGTAGACAATTTCTCAGAAGGCCCGGGGACTTTCGAGCCTTCTGAGAAGGCCTTCTCCTTCTCACTTCCCCCCTCGCTCGCAGCCGAATCGAGGAGCCGGTTGGGTCATCTTGTGAGAGCGCCAGACTACCTGGCCGCTGCGCGCGCGTGCTTGGGTTGCCGCGGCCGCAGAGATGCACCAGCCAACGCCGAGCACTCATCGCAGTCGCCGCCGCATGGGTTGTGCAAGCCAGGTTGCGGGTGTTCGGGTGGGATGTTTGCAAGATCATGGATCGTTGATCAAAACCAGTTGCACTACGCAGTGGATTGCACAGCGTATATTGCACAACGTAGACCGCACAGCATAGATTGCACCGCATCTGTGGCACAATTGCTTATTGCTCCAGGTCGACTACACGACGTCCATTTCTAGAGACACACTATGGGGGCCCACACTGGCTGACGCGTATGTGATGCGATCTGTGTATTTCCGCAGCGTTGACTCGATCTGGCGATTGGAGCGCCGCC